CAGAATGCGGAGTAGTATAGGGACAATCCAAAAGACGTAATCCAGGGGCTTGGTCGATATGGGAGGCAATGAGTTCGGTTACAAGGGAAATCCAAAAGACAATCCAAAAACAAAATCTAAAAGGCGTGGTCAAAAGGCAGGAGTAAAGATTTGGTACAAGGAGATCAGTCACAAAAAAGGCTTAGAAACACACACAAGAGAATACTACAGGAGGCTTCTTAATAGTGAACAAGGGTTGGTGTGTGAGGGAACTTTAAATACTGAAGGTAAGGGGATGTGGTTGGATAATTGGTCAGGGAGTGAGAATTTGTGGGATCTGGTGCATGTGGGAATGTGACGTGTTCAATTAGGAATGGGATTGTGAAACAGCGGGTTTGGGAATGCAACGGGGTTTGCGAGGGAGAGTGTGGGGGGTGACACGAATGGAACAGCGTTTGCGAGGGAGAGTGTGGGGCGTGACGCTCACTATTAGAGCTTTCATTGGGATGAAGCATTTGGATTAGTCAGTTTGTCAGCTACACGCAGCTTTCTCCACGTATTTGCCGCTTTGTAAAATATACAGGTTTAGCCACATTAAAACAATTGTTTTTATTTGCTCAGCTGTGCATGTTTCATGTGAAAACATAAAAGAGCTGTGAATGTACAGCCTTGGTTCCAGCCTTTGGAGTTTTGGGTCTGCCTTTCAAGTTAGAAGCTATAAAGCAATATGAAGTCTAGAAAGTTGTGTATGACAGAAAACCAAGCAACTGTGAAAATGAGAGCAAAGAAAACTCCAATTAAATCCATTGCAGAGAGAATGAGCATTGCAAAACAATAAATATGAAATGTCTTGAAAAGGAAGTACTGGAGGAGTAAGCAATCACTACGACCAGTGATAACTACTTTAGGAAACTAAGGGGGAGCTGTTCAAGGAAGAGGACAACAGCTTATAACAGAAAAATCATTCGGGATGTGAAGAAATCCCTAACATAACATCCAAAGAGATTGCAGATGACTGTCTCAAATTACTGTATGTAAAAAGGAGTTTGGCAGGAGAATTACAAGGGCTGCGCTATAAGATGCAAACCTCTCAAAACCTACACAAAGATTATACACAGTATACAGTACATATTTTTAACAATACTTATTCCTGCATTCCAATGTTTCTGAAATGTCACATACTATCTCTTATATCTATTTCACTGGTTCAGCATGTACAGAATTTAACATGAAACACAACTCTACATGACTTTTATTTACTGTAGTATTTTTGCTTTACAGTCAAGGCATTTGTATATGTGATCATGAGATTAATATGATTGATGAGAACAATATGTTTATTCTTGGCAAATTCAATGTATATGTACAGTAAGCCTGTCTAACCAACTTTACAGCATACTTTACAGAAAAAAAAACATGGTATTTTCTCATGCACACCCCTTTT